CCTGTGCTGGCAGCTGTCATCACCGTGGTAACTGGCATACAGCTGGCTGTGTCACTATCACCTGACTCATCTGCCTTTCAGAGACAAAGAAAGAGAAAAGAGGGGAGGTGGAAAAATGAACAAATATTTAAAATTGAGAATTAAGGTGTATGTGAATGACAAACTGGACACATGAATGGTTGTTGCAGTGAAAAAGGAGGAAATGAGAAAACTTTGGCAAACTAAATGAACAGAGTTAGGAACATATTTATTTTGGGATGACCTCTACTGTTATTCCACACCTGCCCAGCAGGCGGCACCATTAAGTTTCTCACATTCGCTCCCCCTCTGTTTGAGTCAACTGCGCTCCCAGCTGCTCCTCATTGACAAACAAGCCTCAGTTAGAAATAGAGGACAGGTATTTATCTCTCTCTGCAATGATGTCTGTGTTAGCCTGGTGACAGTCTTTCTCCGCTAACTGCCTTTTTGACCTGTGGCAAGTTAAAGGTAATGTCTGAAAAAAGGATGAACTTGATGATAGTCTGCTCACAGAGCCACAAGATGAGGTTGTTTTTGACCCAGATCACTGTAAGTCACAATGGACTCACAAAGCCATGGACGTGAAGTGTGACTGGTGAACTAGCGCCCCTGTTCAAATTTCAGGAATTGCTTTGCCTCTTGCCTCTGAACACTGGAGCATTATATTTCCTGATAGTGAGCCACCACCATATCCATGTTTTCCCCACTACTGGCCTGTGGATGCTGCCCAGATTCCAGATTCACCAATAAGTTCAAACGCCCACACTGGCTGCAACAGTGTTGGCGTCGTGTGCTGGACGAACACTTCAATGTTTTATTGAGGGATTTTGCTTTAATTTCACCCATCTGTTTTTGTCCTGCTGCCTCCTGGCTGTGTTTAAGTACTCGATCTGTCTTCCAGAGTTAACGGCAAAGCCAAAGTGAGAGGAGAAACAAAATTATCTTCCAGATACTGGATTAAGTGTCTCTGACTTTTTTTCTAAAGTATAGCTTTTTGGGGGGGGTTAATAAATATTGTTGCAACCAAATGCCTAGTGGGCATTAATAACTACAAACTACTGAAAAAAACTCACCACCCAGAAATAAACTGTCCCAACCTATTTCCTAGTGTGATAAAAGAAAAAGCTGAACCATCTGCTTTTTAAAGGTCAGGATCAAGGATGTAGCAAAACAAGACTTGTAGAGACCCCCCTGCACGGTCGACTTTAATTACAGCTGAGGAAGTTGCACAGCTTAACGTGTACCACCCTGCTCGGCTGTTACATCCCATGACTCTGACCGAAAGCAGAAATGCTGTTTAATATGTTTCAATGTGCCGGTGTGCACGCTACAGCGATGTGTGGCAAAAAGCACCATGCAGCATATGTGCAGGCGTGTCTGCTCGGCCTGTTAAAGCAGAGGGGACATCAAAAGGTGGGTTTTATACCCCCCCGCACACCCCATTGCCACCCCTCACTATAAATCCACCCCAAAAGGAGCCATTTATGGGACAATAAGAGCCAATTTATGGGCCCCAAGAAAATGAAGGCAATTCAGAGGTGTAGGATGAAAGATGACAAGGGCTTTCTTGCGGCTAGCAGGCGTTAGCTGGTAGCTCTGTGTTTCTTCACAGCTTTCTCCTCTGTAGCGTGCGCTAAGAGGGGGGAATAGGGAGAAGAGATTTGGGAGTTGGGGTCTGGAATTTTAAGAAACACCAGTGCAGCAAAGAGGAGAAGCATTTCCTTTCAAAGAAAAAACTGGTCAGCTGGATAAAGGCAGAAGTGGAACCTGCAAAAGGATGTTGTACATTTTGCAGCATGTTATTCAAGAACTTTTAGAAATCACATTTAATCTTGGTTGCTTTTGCCAAGATTCTCCACCAGCTTGGATGACCTATCCTGTCCCCCCAGAGGTCACAAAATGCTTTCATAGGAATTCATACATAAAGACAACGAGATTAGCAGCATTCTGGACACACACACACACGTATACAGTCGCGGAGGCACAGGAGAGGTGAACCAGATCCAGTCTGCCTCCGAGTTACTCAGGTGTGGTGAGATTGCAGGAGAACTGACACGAGACGCTTGGGGAAAATCACGGAGAGGCCCGTGCCATGCCCCGACCGCTCAAGCGTACACAATAGCTCTACAGCCTGTGGTGTGTGTTTGTGATGAATGCAACAGCACATCAGGAAGAGCAATTTTTGTTTTGTTTTATCCATCTCTCTGCATGTCAACCTCCACAGTATACACACACCAAAGTAGTGCGTCTCTTTGCCTCTGCACGCTCATGAGTCAGTTGCTCACATTGTGTCTGGAAACAACTTCTGATTGAATCCGTTTATTCCTCTCTACACCCCCCCACCACCACCCTCTCTCTCTGTCGCTCTTTTCCTCTTTTATTCATCTGGTTTAATGGTCTGTAATAGTTACCAAGTATCATTAAGGCCAACCTCTGTGGCTTCTAACAGCGCTGTAGGCAAGCCAAGTGTTTGTTGTCAGCATTTTATTGGCTTCCAGGGAGGAGGGTTGTTGTTGTTCAGTGTAATCTTGGCACGCCAATAACAGGTTTCAATAAAAGCAGCTGCTTTCTTATGGTAGTAAAGCCTCTCACTTCCCTCCCCCCTTTTGCAAGTGTGTTTGTTGGAATACAAAGCTACCTGTAGAGATGACATGTCCAGAAACATGTACATCTACAGTCTCTTTCTCTATGGTCTGACGTGCATGAATAATTTTCTCTCTCTTTAAAAAGTAGTTTTCTGTCATTCATGTCACTGTGCAGGTTTTCAGGCTTGTGACCGTTACCAATGCTGGCTGGTTTAGTTTGACCACACTGCCCCCTTTAGGGCACAGCTGGCTGTTGCAAATGAACAAATTTGGAGAGGTGGAGGTTTGTGCCTTAAAATGATTTAATAACAATCTTTTAGTGGCTGGTATAAATAAGTTCCTTAGTTTTAGTTCCAGTTCACATCCTTCTGCATTTACAAATTCTTTATAACAGGACTATTTCTTCTCCTTGTGACCAACGCTTCAGAAATTTCACAATAGCAATCGGAAGTGCTACATTAGGCACAGAACATAGCTCAAACTATTTTAAGTTCAAAGCTGACATGATCAGTCCTGGATAATACAAGTGGATTGAAGGTGGATAAACATGTGGTTAAGAGACACAAGTATCAGCTAAAGGGATGTAAAGAGGTGTTCAAGAGGGGATACAAGCAGGAAACCAAATACAACTAGTTTTGATGTTATAATGGAGGTAAGTATTTGACTTAAAAGTATGTAAAGTACAAATAAATACACAAAAATTCACTTAAGTAGAAGGAAACTACTACTAAACTTCTCCACTAAAAGTAAAGAAGTACTTGGTTTTTAGTATATATATTTAAAGTATTAAAAGTAAAAGTACTTGCAAAGTGAAGCCTATTTCCTAATACAACAGCATATGACATCAGTAACTCAGCCGACGGTATATTCAGTTTGATGTTCATGTGAACAGGACACGACACGTGGAAAACACAACTGCAGAGTAAACAATGCTATTCATTGTACACGATCATGTAAATATAACACAGCAACAACTAACATTTCCAGGAAAGTAAAAGAAATATGTGGGTGAGTTGATATTATAATATCTGTCTGTCTGCGTCACTTGTAGTTGATATTGAGCCCTGATACTGGGCAGTCATTTTGCACTTAATGTAAACTTTGTCCTACTTTTGCACTTTGTCATCGCCATAAGTAATTTAGCAACATGGGTCACATAAAAAATAAATTCTGAGTTGGAAGTTTGAGTTAAAGTGAAACTCTTGTGTTGCTTTCTACTATGAAATCTCTCCCGTTATTCTTGGCGGCAAAGTTTGATTTGCCACCACATTCCACAGTTAAAAGGTATAGGAGAAAGAGTTCCCATGTGCCAGAAAAGAGTTCCTGTCTCTCATGTAAAATTAAAAAGCACTCATATAAACATTATTGAACCTCTGCTCAAGCACAAACATTCCACCATGATGTCTGGCTGACCCCGACGTTGGTTCGTGTTTCCTCTCCTGGTTTCTCCGGGGTTTTTTATGCTGTCCTCCATCAATCATTTCTTATTTTCTAACTGTCTATATCGTTATTTCGCAGTGCAGATGTCACAGCCTACAAGTGGTCAACACTTCAAGGGTCCTATTTGACTGTATATTTGGCCATGTCAGCAGCACACCTCTATGGAAGGCATTGTCCCCAATATTATTTCCCCAATATTTACAACAGACTTCCATATCCATCACAACATCTACTATTACTCAACATCCTATAATTTAGTTGAAGAGCTTTAGAGTAGTTCTATTTAAAAACATTTAAAAATGGGCCTGTTCATAAATTCACAATTTGTTTTGTGCAAACGTTTGGCCACCCAACTTGCTTTATAGCAGCCAGAATCTCCTTGCACCACTTACTTTCTACTCTTGAAATGATCTGACTTGATTTAACTTAACCTGACTTGGTCTACCCTAACTTAACCTAACCTTGCCTAGCCTATACCCCAGCTTAACCTTTATGGTTATGTGCATTTGCAAAAACAAATGGTTAATCTACCTAAAGTACCTTTAGCCTTAATTGGACAATTAGCATTAATAAGCACATAATCCAGATATCTATTTTCTACACAGATATGATCCACATCACTGTTCAAAAATCACCATCTGATGGCCTTCACATGGACCTCATCAGACCTTGCGCTCATAAACAGTTTCATCCAGCACGATGGTCAGTCGGCAGTCCTGTGGAACACTAAAATCTTTGTCTGTCCACATTTACACATTTGCTCCATCCATACCCTGTGCTGTTTTTCAAGCCTTAGTTTGACCCTCTGCTATCAGCCCCCTGGGAAGTGAGTGACAGCTTTTATATGCCACCGCATATGTAACTGATATGAATTAACATGACTCATCACTTTCCAATAATATGTTTCAGGGACTTCCCACCGAGTCAAAAACAGCTTTTATTTTTCCTTTACTGCAAACACAAATTAATTTTACATCATCTTTGGACTGTTCACCTAATGAAGCAAAAGTCACATCTAAAAACAAACACATTCATGATCAAAATTCAAAGTTGTTTTCATGGATCATTTAGTCGTCGATCACTTTGTCGAGCAGTTCTGTTGTCGCAGCCCTGAGCAGTCTGATCCCTGAGTGACAATAACGTTGTGGTCTCATGGAGCGTATCGGAGCAGAAAGACCTTTTTTCTGCCAATTAACATTCATGTGTGTGTGTCGTTTCCAAGAAAAACCTCACATCGATCCAGTTCCACATCGAGCACATTTTTTTTAAGCAGCTCATTGACTTTGCTGGAGCCATCTTTGCTAACAGCTGTGCTGTATAAGTGCAGCACTTACATCACTGATTGTGGGATGTGGTTTGGCCTTTAGATGTTATCATTTGTATCTTTCACAAGCTGTTTGCAGGGATAGATGATGAGGAAAGTCTGCGTAACCTTTTGAGGCTTCTGACATGACAAAGTGTAAAACGTCTCCAAATCACTGTAAAGTTTCCATCATATCAACCTGGGGTGCAAATGTCATGGGGGCTCTACAAATCTCAAAGTCATGAAGCAGTGAGGGAATAATTTTGAAGGTAATGCATGGGCAAAAATGAGTCATCGTTTATGATCAAAATCTTTTTTAAATGTAATTTCTGGTAAAAAAAATAATAAGTTAAGAAAACATAATTAATCCTGCCCTCAGTGACTTTTTTTCCTCAAGTTTAAATGATGCAAAATATGTGTTTAAAAGACAAACAATGAGGTCTGCCTTTACTGGCAGATTTAAACAGAGCTGAGGGGTTTTCCTAAGTCGAAGACGGTTGGGAACTATTGCTGTATATGACAATATAATCATCGTCTTATGGCTGTGACCTCCCGGAGGCCTTCAAAGGTTATCCATGATTCACTCAGATAATGAGCCTCATCATTTAGGCTGTCACCCTCGCTCCTCTGAGGGCCAGGCTAATATCTGCAACCAGCTGAGGAGCTCTAATCCCATGCAACACTGACCACTTACTGTAAACGAATGACTGATTGGATACTTATTCAGCATAACATTGAATTTCACTGGGCTGTTGTGTGATGTGGAGCAGGAGACGAAAAGTTAAACTCTGAGAGCTGAACAGATTTTTAGCTCTTTGGTGCCCCTTCCCTCCATTTCAACACAACTTAACAATATTTCCCTTGCAAGCACATTGCCGTCATTTAATTTTTTCAAGGGATCGAGGAAAAGCGACAAGGACACAGGGATTTAGTTTTTTCGACACATGAAACACCAGGCCATGAATTCATTATCCCATGACATTTCAACTGCTTATAAAATGATTTAATCATTCAATGGTTCCTGAGTAATGACGGTCATTACAAAAACAAAACAAATTGAACGGGACAAAATCAGCTCATTTCATAACTTGGCACAACCTCTCTCATATTGTTTTAAAAATTGTTAATCGCTAAAGTGAGCATCTGCTTGATTTGTTTTGTAATGCATTCAAAACTGTTATAAAAGACTAAATGTCAGTGGTGCTGACTGAGATGATTCTGTGGGGCCCTGAAAATTGCTGAGTTTCAACTCATGTGCATATCGACAAAATACTCTGAGCTAATACTTCACCTTCAGCCTAAGTAAGCCAACAAGACCACACAATTCAGCGTTGGCAGGACAGTTTGCTTTTTCTTTGGTTGAGATCATAGACTGTAAATAAAGATTTACAACCCGCCTCCATTTCCTCCTTCTATCCAGAAACGAAGCCAAAATATTCCAAAACATGAAGATCATCTCGCGGCAATAACGTAATTTGTAGCCAGAGTCTGAATGGGCTTTATGGTGCAAAATCACACTTGCATGCAGCCTGATCACTATAATAAAATGTTAATGACCATTCAGTGCAAAGCAACCAGCCCACACATATGGAGAAGGACTGTTTGGTTGACAGCAGTTCATTCCTGGTACAGCGGGAAGCCAGAGAAGGTGCTATACTTCCAGGTGCTGCATAGATTGCGCCACAATGCAAACAATGCCAAACTCAGGGCCCTTGAATCAGAGATCTTGGTTGCTGGCTGTCACATGAACACTTAAACATATCTACTACCTAAAACGACAAAAAACATCCTTGAGAAAAATGTATTTCACATGAATATGACTTTTTCTTTTGGTCGACGTCCCATCCACTAACATGGAGATGGTGGGGTTTATGACCTATAGTGCAGCCAGCCAGTCTATAGTTGAGATCAATTCTTTACCTATACAACATGTACTCCAGATGGCTCTTTGGTGTTTACTTCCAGAGTTCTTTCAGTGTTTAGATGCAGTCAGGGCACAGCGCCACCTGTCCAGGCAGGTGAGCTCTGCAGGGACACAGTCTGCGGTGGGAAGGGTCAGAGCCGGCACAACTGAACAGTAGAGGCTCCTGCTGAAGACCACAGTGTCGGCCCCAAGGGTTGTAGGCTGGAAAAAGATGGTTGACTTCCTGCCCCATGCTGGCGCAACCTAGTCCAAGCCTGAAAATGAAAAATAGTGAAGAGTTAAAGAGATATGATACCAAGAAGTCCAGCCCCTCTACCACCCATGCTGACTACACCCATCTTCAACCTCAGCCTTCATTTTGATGTCAACTCCACAATAAAGATTGCGATTAAAGTATCGTGGCTGTTTCTAACAGGGTTGTGATGTTGCAGAGAGAGATAAAACTGTGATTAGTTCCACAATTTCTTTTCTTTTGCAAATCCTTTTCCTTGTTTTTTTGACCACATAAAAACCTTAAAAATCGAAACCTGGTGATCCTTTACCTGGTAAACGCAGAGGGACTGTTGAGGTGGTGAAACAGAGCAGGCTCACACACCAGGGAGGAGCGTCGACACACACTAACACACGATTGGCCCAGGGGACCTAGGTGCATCCTCAGAGCGCTCTCCGGTGGCCACGTAGGGACAGATTTACTGCAGAAGTCCTATAGGGATTTCAGAAAACAAAGTTAAAGAAAGTAAACAATAATGTATTTTTGAACCAAGCGATGGTTTCTGTTTTATCAGTGGCCAGTGTTGCATAAAAGCATTTGAAGCAATCTTGACAAAGAATAAAATAACTGGAATTAATGATTTCAAAGTTACGTTAGGGTGTAGATGGAGGTGGATGACATTATTGCGAATGTGTTTCATAAAAGGTGAGTGCCACAGATACTGAAGGCTTCTCTGTATATGTTTATTTTATTTTGATTTCAACATGAGGTTTCATCAGATCAGGCCAATTTGAGAGTCTAGTGTGGTGTTGGATCAGCCATTCATGTAATGCCAGCTCTCCCTGTGTCTCTGTACCTGGTGGGTGATATAACCACGAACCCGCTCCAGCATCCCCTCACAGGTGAACTCTCGGGGGGTGAAAGGTTTCACCTGCAAAAACACAAACACAATAACACTTTCATTCAATGCTACTGCAAGTAAAATTATGTTTAACCTTATCTGGAAACTACCTCAGTGCTTAAAATAGCTTTGAGCACCTCCTGTACATCGGTCCTGTTGGCCGTGTCCACGGTCCACACATGAGGTCGACCAATGAACTCCTCAGCATAAGGGTGCTGGGAGGAGATCTGCGATGCAAAGGTATTTAATGTGTTGATTTTTAATTAAAATCTGTGGTAAAAGGGATTTAAAAACATCTATTTTTGATTCCTATGTGGGGTTTTCACCTTGGGAAGTTACGTACCTGTCTTGAAGTGGGTTTGCCCTTGTAGAAGTCATTGTTGTCTGATGAGTGTGGTGGGTCAAATTTGGGCTGAAGGAAGATGCAGCCCAGGGCTATTGCCTCAATAGGAGCTGGACCCTCATAGGGGAAACCAAGACCTACAAACACCTACAGGGAACGAGGGAGGCAGCAGAGGAAAGACAAATCTCACAAAAACTCCCACAAGCTCATATAATAGATGTGATTCAGATTCCCTGGCTACTTTTTCTGAGATGATCATTAATCTGACCTTGGCTCTGCGGAGAAGTCGTAGGAAGTGTTCCTGACTCAGCAGGCCGTGGTTTCTGATGAAGCTGGGCAGATTAGACGAGTGACCTGGAGGCTGGTAGACCGTGGCGTGGGTCTCCAGCTCCTCGCTTATTGCCTCCACATACTCCGATTTACCCTGGACACAGAGTATTTGATGAGTCCTGCTTTCTCCCCATCTTTCTACAGTGCATACACACAGTACACTTTACCCCTGTGGTGATTGTACCTGCCACATGTAGTCCTGTTTACCATAGACGACTGCCATCCTGTCTTTCCTGTAGGTCTCAGGCTCCAGCTCCTCCTCTCTTACATCCGCCCTCACTGCCTCCTCGCTCACAAAGCCCAGGAAGGAGTTATCAGGAGTGTGAGCTGGAGATGACAGAAACATAGAGCAGTTTAATCATTTAAAAGGATTAAAGAATGACTGGCATCTCAACATACAGCACTGAAGACTCCAATCACACCACTTTTATTTATAATATTTTTTTATCTATACTCAAGTTTATAAGTATACATGTATGTGTGGGTAATAAAAATCAACTTGATCAAAGATGGTGCAGAGATCCACGGGAGCAAATTGCAATCACTTGAGAAAAAAAACAAATTCTTCTTAAACAAGATTAGTTTCTCATGAAAACAGACATGTATCTCATTACTTCATTAATGCATTAATTCATGAATGCAATTTCTTTTCTCAAGTAAACGTAACACTCTTCTACAGATCTTTTCTCAAAGACGATAGAAGATAAACTCGTGGTGAACGGAATGATAGTCATCAAATATTACTTTTGGGCAGACGGTGTTGGACCCAAGATCGCGGATGAATAGCAACAGTTGAGATAAAAAATATGTTGGAGACGAAAAACACACTGTGCACTATAAATCAGCTGTTAAAGGAAATGAGATTTCGAGATGGTTTAGGTTCAGGGCTGTTTGGATAGGCCACTGCCACCCTGCTGCCCTATGACACACTGAAGGAGGTGTGAGAGATGAGTATTTACTTTAACTAGGAATGTGCCAGGAAAGGTGTGCATGGGTTTCTTCGTGTGTGTGTGTGTGTGTGTGTGTGTGTGTCATCCTCTCCTGTCTCTAACTACTTTGTTTAAAAAGACTGTTGCCAGGTCTCGTCTCCTTGCTCCTTCCTCCGAGCAGAGATGTGCAACAACACACAGATATCATCAACATTATGCGGTGAAAGCATTTTCTGTGTTTCATGGAATCAGTCTACAAACCTCCTCACCCCTGTTTTAAAAGAAACACAAATACATGCTTTTCTCTTATAATTAATTTTTCCAACAATCCTCTTTCGATGTATTTCTTTCTGCTCTGCTTTCTTCCCTTCTTCCTGCCCTTTCCCCACCATCAGCTAACAGCCATCCCTTTCTCCTCCTCCTCCTCCTCCTCCTCAGGACAAATAAACAGTGCTTCAAGCTGAGGGATGAAGAGCGGCTCTCGGCCCGGTCCGTCCAGCTTGTCTCCATCCCCCGGCGGGGCGGGAAGTACGACAGGGAGAGGTGTTGGAATGAGAGCTCTGTCTGGGCACCAGGTTTATTTAACCTCGGCTATTAATCCTCTCACTGTGAGGATGCTGAGAGGGGAGTGTGCGAAAGAACCAACACTGTGGCAGCAAGCTATGTATTTATATATGTTAACTGTCTCCTTTCACAGCTACTCCCACACAGACAGAGAGACACGTGTTTGCAGTGTATAAAAAGAATTACACGTTATTTGCACCATGTCAGCATAATCAGAATATGCACATAAACACACAGGACTTACGGAACATAGTCATGTACTGCAGAGGCCGGAGACCCCATCTGCCCCACAATGTTTTGTATCCATGGCTATTTGCGTAACTCTCCAAGTTAAAAGCCGGTTCGGTGCCAAAAGAGTCCAGGATTCTGAAGCGGCATCTATAGAGTAATAGAAGGTACAAGTTTATAACAAAAGAAATCTTTGATATATATATTTATCAGCTCAGCAATTGTGGATGTATACTGGTAATGCTGGAAGGCCAGTCCCATGGCTCCCTGAAGGTGAGCGAGGCCATGGTAGTCCGTGTAGACGAGGTCGAAGGGTAGCGGCCTCTGGATTGGACAACTGCCTCGGCCTGGAGCAGCACCTATCAGGCTAGACACAAATTGTACCACTAATTAACCTTCTTAATCATTTCAGAGGAAAGTCACATCAATTCAATAAACTTTTTTAATTTTTGTAATCTGTACTTTCCAAACAGACGTTATCACTTCAGATTAAATCAACAACCAGCAGCAGAGGGATCCAGTGGAAGTCGTCACCTGTGGAGTTGGCGCTGTGACGTGCTGAGATTGACATTGTGGCCCAGGATTGTCAGACAAGCGCTGAGGTCGGCCCATTGGACCAGCTCGCCCAAAGGACCCCCTCTCTCCACCATGGCTTCAAAACGCTGACCAGCACTTCCAGCCAGGGCACCGGGATAAAGGAGCACCTAGAAGATGGAATGTTTCAATGTCTAGATTAGACAACAGGTATTAAGAGAAGAGGCTGCTCATTTCTGTTCTTTCATTGATATTAATACAAGTTCTTAAACTCTTCTTTTAGCTTGTCCATCAATAAAAACGACAGAACGACTTGCTGTTTCTACCCTCACCCGCCTCGCAACCGTCCTGTTGCTGCTCTGCCTCATCCTCACACCAGCCTGTACCCACCGCTCAGACATCCTCTCCACTCTGGACCTGATGAAGTTTAATGC